GCCATTGCAGACTTTGCTGAAGCATTGGCCTCCAAGTTGCCTGAAGATCTCAAGGTGGTCTTCGCAATTTTCTAATAAGAGTATAACAACAACATAAAATAACTGAATCGGATGCAAGTTTAATAGAGACATGATGTGTTAAAATTTCAATGGTTTTTCAGGTGGTGTTTTTCACCAACTCCGGAACAGAAGCAAATGAGTTAGCGATGATGATTGCACGGTTGTATACTGGGTGCCATGACATCATATCACTGAGGAATGCGTACCATGGGAATGCAGCGGGGACTATGGGTGCCACTGCACAATCTAACTGGAAATTTAATGTTGTGCAGGTATGTACCTTATTTACAGAATTAATATGCAAGAGTATAAACGGCCTTGTCCATTAATGGTAGGAAGTCCAACCCTAACAATAATGTTGTGACAATAAACTTGTAGCCCAATTAAATCGTTCAATATAATTGTCGATTGAGTAGCATAAGAGCCAGCATCGTACTAAATTGATTTGTAACCTTAGGGTCATTCTCTTGGGAAGATTGTGGTAAATCTTCCATAGACACCTAAGTAGTTTTGGATCAAGACATGTAATCTGCAGGATGCATTGTGGAGCCAAGTAATTATATAAATTAGCATCCACTAAGTGCATTTGTGTATTCAAGACCAACTTAGCTTCATGTTTTTCTTATTGGTTTGGCCAATAGAGTGGAGTTCATCATGCCGTGAACCCAGACCCATACAGAGGCATCTTTGGTTCAGATGGTGAACAGTACGCAAAAGATATTGAAGACCTCATTCAATTTGGAACTTCTGGCCGTGTTGCTGCATTTATTTCTGAAGCTATACAGGTAAGCCGTACCTAATTGCAATTGATTTCATCTCATCTTTTCATTATTTCTAATCAAGACCATCTTTTCATTCTTTCTCATTCAAACTTCTTTCTTATATGGTAGGGAGTGGGTGGTATTGTTGAATTGGCTCCTGGTTACATGCCTGCTGCCTATAGCAGTGTTAAAAAAGCAGGAGGCATTTGTATTGCCGATGAGGTCCAATCTGGTTTTGCTCGCACAGGGAGTCATTTCTGGGGATTTGAGGCCCATGGAGTTGTGCCAGACATAGTGACAATGGCCAAGGTTTGCGTTCTCATCTAGTTTCACAGATATCTGAAAGACCATCAGTTGCCACTAGAACTCTGGCAATTATGTAAACCATAAACATTCCTCGCATCTGCTTAAAAAATTCTTTATCTCACTAACATTAGAATCCGTCTTTAGTTGACATTTTACCAATGTTGCATTTTGGCCATACAATCATGTATTAAGACTGGACTGGAGGCAGAATTCGAGTAATGTTTATATGAATGTTTGGTCTGCAGATACATTCCTTATTGCTATCATACGAAAATTTTCTATCAAAATTATTCTGTTCTTTCCTTTTTTTCCCCAAACTCGAATCACTAGAGAGCAATATTTTTCAGTAAGATATGATAAGCTCCTTATTTCACATAAATGCAAATTTTCCATGCTTCCAATTTTGGCTTTGCAAGTTCATTTTTGTGCTACTTGGTGTCAACAGGGCATCGGAAATGGGATTCCCCTTGGTGCTGTGGTAACTACTCCTGAGATTGCACAGGTCTTGACGCAACGCAGTTACTTTAATACCTTTGGAGGAAACCCCGTATGTACTGCCGCAGGGCTTGCTGCTCTCAGAGTGATTGAGAAAGAAAAACTTCAGGATAATGCACATGCCGTGGGATCCTATCTGAAAGGACGCCTCAATACCCTCAAGGATAAGCATGAAAGTAAAGTTTCTCCCCTTTTCCTTTTTATGTTATAGTAATGAATCACTTTTGCAAGTATCCTTTATCATTCTGGACCCTTTCAAATTGCTGTTAAGAGTCTTTGTACGGCTTTCTCAATGAACTTGAACGTCTTATGACTTATGGTGACATTCAACTTGGTAGCATCAATGGTTCTATGCATTTAATGTTTTTTCTTTCCCTGCCAATCTACACTCAATCAGCTTTTGCAACATGATCTCCTGATCTATCATATTGCTATCTGCAGTTATTGGGGATGTGAGAGGAAGAGGATTGATGCTTGGAGTTGAGCTTGTAACTGATCGGCAATTGAAAACTCCTGCGAAGGTTGAAATTCTACATGTGATGGAGCAGATGAAAGGTACTTGTTTCTGTCTTCTCCATGTTTATCTTTGCGTTAAACTTACTTTTAGCCTCGATTAAACCACGCATTCTCATTGTAGACAATGGAGTGCTGATCGGCAAAGGTGGATTCTATGGCAATGTTTTCAGAGTTACACCTCCACTCTGCTTCACTAAGGAAGATGCAGGTAAGTTTTAACTTAGGTTATGTCGGTGGTGGCATGTCATTCCAAACATTTCAATCAAATTTGTCTCCCCTTTGTCCTACTTCATTAACTAATTTGGACCCTCATGATCCTCTGATTTCTTTGGTTTCAGACTTTCTTGTGGATGTTATGGATTATGCAATATCAAATACGTGAAGACTTTTGCGTTGTAGTCCACACAGGAGATTGAACATCAAATCCACTTCTCTGATCTTACTGTGGATAAAGATGTTCATTTCATTGTTAATCATGGATGTGGCACACCTTTATATAGCTATTGTGAAATAAATTATCAATGTAAATAGGCCTCTGCATCATTATACTGCAGTAACCTTATGGTTATACTTTGAATCAACTCCTCGTTGATTCTTTGATGTCTTCATTTTTCCTGTCTTATAATGAGTCAACGAGTTGTTGTCTCTCTCTATCTCTCTCCATCTCTCATGGATTTCCTTAAGTTGCTGTGCCTTGGTACTATTTTTTTTTTTGNAATGTTCCAAATTGTAACAAACAAAGGAAGATCACCTGTATTCCTGTATACCAGTACAGAAGTTGGTGACAACGTGGTGTAAATCAGTACGCCAGTGTCGAGCAGAACAAGAGAGATATATTCAATAGTCAGTCATATTTCTGTACACTATTTCAGAATTGTGTAAATAAGTATACCAACACAGAGCAGAACAAGAGATATATATTCAATAATCTGTAGCAAGTGTATTCACAAAGATCCATCTTGAAAATTTACACCAACACGAGACTTTCATCATAGTACCGACAGCAGATTTAAATGACAAATATTAAAATCACTTAAAAAGCAAATAACTTCAGTGTTGAAACCCACAACCCAATACTACACTAATGCTAGAGAAGGGAATATAAGCAATTATATTGACACAGCAACTAGAATACTTAGGTGAAGGAACCGAAGCAGTCATAGTGTGCTGACCTTGTAAAAGTAGGGAACAGTAACTACATCTTTGTGGACATCATGAACTTGTTCTTTTTCTCTGCTGGCTTAAGAATTTGGAAAGAGCACATCAAGTTTTCATCAACGCTCATCATTGCACCGGCATTATCAAATTCACCACAGTAGTTGGGGGCAGAGAAAATGGTAACAAGCTGCCTATCAGCAAAGAATTCATAACCATCCTCCACAACCTGCACCAAAAGAACTATTTCAGCGACCAGAATTGCATTGATGAAAAAAGAAAACACTGCACATTCACAACAAAACCTGATGAGCACGACAGACAAGGTCCAAATCATGCTTTGCTAAGAACTCTGACACCTTATCGGAGCCAAAGGTGAATGAAACTCCCCTGTCATTCATACCCCATCCCTTGACATCACCAGGATCCGACCACAGTAAATCACAGAGCAACCCAGTGTCAGGAATAGCAGTTGGACGTGGTAAGTTTCTAATCTGATCTAAGTTTGTAAGGTCAGGGGAGAGGCCCCCATGCATGCACAATATCTTGTCATCAATCAGAGCCGCCACCGGAAGACAATTAAAACAGTCAGTAAAGGCTTTCCACAGTCTCACATTAAACCGGCGCTTACATTCATCATAAAATCCATAAATTCTATTAATCGACGCACATTCATGGTTTCCTCTGAGAAGAAAAAAGTTCTCAGGATATTTAATTTTATAAGCAAGCAGGAGGCATATTGTTTCCAAACTCTGTCTGCCACGATCTACATAGTCACCTAAAAATAGATAATTTGCTTTTGGAGGAAAACCCCCATATTCAAAAAGCCTCAATAAATCACTGTATTGCCCATGAATGTCACCTGAAACCACAAAGCGAAATAATACATGGTTAGAAAATCATATTTATCTTAAGACATAGGAATGAGCAATTATGGTTTGTAAAACATCACTACCCCATTGCCGTGCAAGGCAAGCCTAATTATTTCAAAGTGTTGAAAAAATGCAAAACAGTCCCATTCGTTATTAATTAGCAGAGACAAAGCCTCAAAGACTTAGAAGGACTTCTGGGATGAAAGATTGATGCACCTATTAGCACAAAGTGAAGTCAGCTAAGTCATAACTATATACATATTGACAGTTGTAGCAGTAAATGCCTCACCCAAAGGATCGCACAAGAATTTGCTTAATACACGTGTCAATAGTAGAACAACATCATTCATTTGAGTTCATTCATCAATCACATATGGAAAGATAGCCCATATATCATTCTCAAGGCCGAATTAGAGCACCATCGACTCATCAAGTAAAATGGTAACAAGGTGCACTAATCAACCCACAAAATACATAATAATGTGCTTTATTTTCACCAGATCATATAAAAAGAATAGAAAACCAGTCAACTTAACCACCAAGCTAACTATAACTCAAAATAATTTTCCAAGTTTTCTATTCTATGGTAATGTCTTGTTAACAATTCATAGAAATTCTGTCCTAAAGGTCCAATCAAGTCATTTGGTTTATGCTACAACAGAAGAATCACTGTCGAAATGCCTCAAACCTACAAGGCATGTAAACCATGGAAGTGTAAGAACTTCATTATGAAAATCTGCTTCAAAAACATGAGATCATGCAAAAACTGGTACTCCAACACAGTTTCAACATGTCAAAGCTTTTAATTAACCAACATCAGCATCCGAACATATAATTTTATGACTCAGGCTATAATTACTAGTGCTAACTGCTCTTATGAATCCATATGCTACTGCATCTTGGGGGTTGGTGGTCAGTTTCTTTCTTCTTCTTCTTCCTCTTCTTTTATTTTTTATTTTTTATTTTTTGGGGGGACCTTTTATGAGAACCCAGAATTTAGTAATTTCTTTCGATTAATTTAAAGGCACAACAACTCGAAATCAAGTCCAGAATTTGGTCAATCGCTACGAAAAAATCAGACTCCAAGACCTCTACCTAAACCCAAATCTAATAAAACAACTGAAAAATCCAAATAACACACAAAAAAAACCCAGAAGCACACTGAAAATCAAGAAAACAACTTTACCGATTAAATACCCAATTGCAAAATTAGTCTAAAGATAAGAGAGTACCACAAATTTTGATGGGTGCTTCGAGTTCAAGAAGATTCTGCTGTCTCATAAAGATATCGCGAGAGACAACACATAGCTGCTTGATTTCTGACTCCGAAAGCTGCACCGCCTTCCCGGGCTTTGAAGATCTGACTTCAATTAGCCTTTCGATTATCTTATCGAGAACTACAGGGTCCATTCGTCCCTGCCCCCTTCTAATAAATACCCTTAAATTTCAGATCCTCGATGAAACAAACCCCACTCTTTGATCTTCTTCTCGCTGATCTTTTTATGGGTTTTCATGGGTTAGTGTTGTTTTGTGGGTTGGGTAGGGGGTCTAGTCCTTTGATTCCATTTGAATGAGACTGGAGGGTTGAGAAAAGTATGGTAATTATGTGGGTCTGAGGGCTGATTTGTTTACCTTGAAAATGGCGGAAAAAAGGTATAAAATATACTAAATAAATAGAGTTGGCTGTAGACGTCAAAGCATAGAAGAAGGAAGGGGGAGCGGCTGCAACTCCTATGTGGCGGAGAGAGAGAGAGAGAGAATTAGGATTTATAGATGATAATATGTGTGGTTATTGAACCACACATTTTTATAAAAAAGTTATTAATTCAAACTATGTTTGCATATAAAATATAAACAAACTAATTTTTGTTTCAACGCTCAAAAATATTCGGATCACGTGCATCAATTACTCTCTTTTTTGATCCGATCAAAAGTAGGCTACATACATGCAAATTAGAAAATTTATGAAAAAACGTTTGAATTTACAGTTCGTTCATATTACCACTTGAACTACTAATAAAGTTCAATATAAATAAATTATCAATAATTCGTATATGAAGATACGACGAGACAAAAAATTTCATCGTCCAAAAAATTAATCCTACTAATTTATATTCTTCATTTTCTTTACTTACGTAATTCAAAATTAATTTTTAGTTATTATCTCTTAAAATAAAAAATTGATAAAATTTTCTCAAAATATATGATCCCAAAAAGTATCAACCTGTGTAACACTATCGTATATGAATAATGTTTGAAATAAAATTTATATTGAATCATAAATTAATTAAAATTAAATGATTCCACTTATTATAAAAAAAAGTAATGTGATAAAAATAGATAAATCAATATATAGAGATAAAATTCAAATGTCTAACTCTCTTATTATATAAATAAACACATAAACTAAAAAGAATAATATTTTTAGAACCCATATATTCTTGATTTTGAACTCAATTTTTGCTTTAAAAAATAAAATTATTGACTAGACGACATTTTTTTTGGGGGGGGGGGGCAAGGGAATGGAGGGGAGGGGGAAAGAAAAATTGAACCTTTGACCTTAATAAGGTAAAATGTTTATAAAATAAATAATATCATTAGACCAAAAATAACTAGATGTTAATTGATATGTACTAAGAAAATAAGTTCAATAATTATAATTATAGTGTTGGATATAAAATAATAAAGTCAAACATTATTGTAAAATGCTAAAAAAATTATTGGTTAGTGCTACACTCAAGTAAAAAAAAAAAAACTATTATTATTGCACGAGTACAAAATTTCAAGTAGTCCTAATGAAAATATTTTCATGATTATTTTCTCACTATATCAAATTCGGTTCTTTTCTTGATCAGTTTAGGTTTTAATGTGCGTGATTTACAATGAATTAGACCAAAGTCAAATGCCCGCACTAAATTCTCATTCATTCAAAACCTTTCACTTGATTTGGATACAATGATTTGGGTTAATTGCAAAATTGTATTTCAAAATATTGTTCAAATCTCAATTTATACCTTTAAAAATAAAACCTCTCAATTTTCACCTTTAAAAATAAAAATTTGTATCAATGCGCACATGAGACTAACAACCATTAGTTTCCCATCTAAAATTAAATACATAAATTACACTTAGATCTCATCATCCTTGTCACTTAATCATTTGGACTCCCTCATATTTAGAATATTATCCCTACATTTTCGAACGTTTGTACACGTATAATACATAACCTCTTGTTATTGATATAATTGTTAAAAAATATGATTTTATCATAATAAAAAATTATAATTTTATATTATAATTTATTTTATGGGTTCGTTATACTCTAAAATTCAAAATCAAGCTTATTATTTGAATGTCCAATATAATTTAGATATTTATATAATATTTTTTATATTCAATACAATACATCACTTAAACAGAATTATTTGAATACTCAATTGAGAGAATATTTTTAGTCATATTTAACTTTTCAAGGGATATAGGTGTAATATTTCAAATGTGATGATTTAGGTGAATAAATGACAAGCACAAAAAAATATAGGTGAAATTTATTTATTTAGTTTTAAAAACAAATTGTCAGCTGTTAGCTTGAGGTGCGTATTGATACAAATTTATATATTTGAGAGTGTAAATTGAGATTTTTTATTTTTAAAGGTACAAATAAAAATTCGAATGTTCTTTTGGGATATAATTTGAGATTAAGCCTTTTAATTTTGATTTTTGAAATAAAATATTTTTTTTTTTGATTTTGCCCGCCATTGACAAAATATATGAATTATTAATGATCCACATTAATCCTCTCCTTTCATATAGTGTGAAAAAAAAAGTTTTATCGATTTTGATTATAATAATTGATTAGGACTTCGCCAAGTTTTATGTAAAGTTTGACAAATAGATAAATGCGTGCAAGAAAAACTAAAATAAAAATCAAACTAATCTAATCAATCAAATCAATAAAAAAGGCTCTCCATTTTCACTTGGATTTGTTTTCAAGGAAGGATAAAATGAAAATTTCCAACAAGTGAAGTGGACTTGAGATTATTTTGTATATTTTAAGAGTTAGGAGTGTGTAATTTACTCCCATTTGGGCTAGGTAACATCGTGGACTTCATTACCCCAAAAGAACACTTCCACCTATTTGACCTAAGCATATGACAATAAGCATAAGTGGTCACTCACTTTACCCAAAACAAGAAAAAGCATAAAGTGGAAGCTGATCTTAGAAGGTGACATTAGCCTTATCAACAAATTAGATTTTAATTAAACTTTAACGGATTTAAGTTCAAAATATATGTCAAAACTCGATATGAGTGTTGATGATACTTAAATTTTGGGTAAGGTTGAGTTTGGTTGTCCACCTCAATAAATTTGAGTTTGAATGCTCATGACAATAAATTTGAGTTTGAATGCTCATGACAATAAATTTGAGTTTGAATGCTCATAACAGGCCACAAGAGGTGCTCAGGTCCGCCCCCTACCCCCGGCGAAAATAACAATACCATCGTGGAAACAATCAGAACGACAATTGGTACCCATCGAAGTGCTACGCATAAATCGTGATGGTCTTGCATTCAGGTCACCTCAGCACTATCAATGGCGATTGCGTAACAGACGCTTCCATTACAAAGAAGGGGCAAGAATCGCGTTAAGAAATTAGGCAAGGGCTTTGAAGACTATAAATAAGAGGCATATCACTCACAAATAGAAAACAAACAACTAGTTTGAATTAGTATTCTGTGTAATCTTCTCTTTTATTAATAAATTTTTTCTTAAGAGTAAGAGATTCCGTTAAAAGTGGAATAGCTGAATTCTAAAACTGATGAACCATTATAAACACTTTATCTATGATTTCTAATCATCTGCTCAATCCTCAAAAGCCTAGGAACTCTGACCGGGGATTCTCTAATCCCTAAAAATCACAACTCTACTCAATTGTGCAACACACACACACACCATCAAGTATCAATTTCGCTATCACAATCTATATATTTAAATCAGTTGAAAGTTAGAAACTCAATCCGATCTTATCCGAATGACACACATAAGTTAAATTTTAGCAAATTAAATATGAATTTTAATTCAATTTCATAATCACTCAAATCTACTAGGTATATATAATTCGGATCGAATCATATCGAATTGTGGTATGTTAAGTCAATATCTAATCCATGAAAGACTATATAAACACTTTAAATTTGGGTTTATATTGGATTAAGAGTATCAACTTATATCTGACTAATCTAATTCAAATTCGTCCCAAATTTGAATCACAATTGATGCTCTTCACCTGTTGATTCAGAAACAAAGGGGGATGAGAGGCAGGACAAATAATTTCTTTAAAACCATGACTTTTCAATGAGCCCATTTGATTTTGCTAAGGTGCCACAATAAGTACAATTACTTGACAGCACTCCTCCTCCCTCACGTTCNCAATGAGCCCATTTGATTTTGCTAAGGTGCCACAATAAGTACAATTACTTGACAGCACTCCTCCTCCCTCACGTTCAAGTTAGATTTTAGACCTAACACATAAAAACTCTATTAATAATTAGAGTAATAGCGAGATTTGAACACATGATCTCTTTTTCTGATACCATATTAAACAACTACCTATTCTAAAAATTTAAGTTATTGAAAAATGTGTAATTTAAGTATTTTATATTTTTATAATGGCCATCTTTTGAATGCTTCTCATCAGCTAGTTGTCACAAGTCTCAACTGTTCTTATCATGTGTTATTTGGACTTATAACCACAATATAAACTTCATATAAATGCAAAAAAAAAAAAAAACAATTCTATCTACCATAGTAAATTGTCCTTCTTAATTTTTTCAAAATTCATAAAATGACACTAATCTCTTTTTTTTAATATAAAATAAGTAAATTAATATAGGTGCAAATAACTAAATAAAACAAATTGAGAGATGGAGACAATACTAAAGTGAGGGAGGGATAGAGATATATATTTCCTTTAGTGTGTTNTAAATAAAACAAATTGAGAGATGGAGACAATACTAAAGTGAGGGAGGGATAGAGATATATATTTCCTTTAGTGTGTTTTAATTCAACAATTTGTGGTCTCTTTATAGGCACATTTCAACTGTTGATAGAAAAGTGAAGGACTACCTTATCAAATATGGTAACTATTCATGCATTGTAATGTCATGTCTAACACTATTTGGTATTATGTATTACTATTTATATATAGTAGTCATTCACATCATACAGAGTATTTGTAACATTTTTTGTATTTGACATTGATAAATTTGTTATCGATGTTTTGACCCCCTCAATTTGAAATATGGTTGTGATTAGAATGTCTCTTCCACAATAAAACTTGAGAGACTTCAAGATAATAACTTCCATACATTGATTGGAATAAGATGACTCAGCATTAGGAAAAGTGAGCC